GTCTGTTTTTGGTGATCTGAGGGTCTCAGCAACACTGGCTTCTCACACAACGCACTCTCTCCGGAGCTCTTTGCCCAATTCAAAGGTCTGAGTTTTTTTCTTGACCCTTTTCTTGCCAGTGTTAATTCTCATGTATTTTTGTCATTTTGTTTCTGATTTGAAGTGGGTTTCATGCATTTCGTCATATTTCGCTTTCTGGGCTGTTTGGTTCTCGGGAAAGCGTGAGAAATGAACTGAAACTTTGGTTGAGGGCAACTGTGCGATACCGATTCCCTCTTTCCCCTTGTAGACAACGTTTCCTTAGTTGGAAGACGGAGATGTTTAAGAATTGGGGTCTGCCATAGAACATAAGTTTGAATCATTGTTGCTAAACTACCAGTTATTTTTGAAGCTCAAGTTCACAGACAAAAAGAAGGTGAAATTCGGTAATTTATGCGCATTAACCTGAATTGTATTTCCCGCTGGACTGATATCTAAAAGGAAAATGCTGCGGTGGTAGAATGAAGGTCCTTGAAAGTATTGCTTGTATCTCATTTGACTCGGATTTCACTTAATATCGTCTGTCTTCTGAGTCTAGTCTCCAAGTCTTAAGGTCATGTAAAGCGGTAAACAAATGAATACACTCGCTTATTATTCACTGAAGGGTTTTTTTTATGTTTAAGTGGGATATGTCTAAATGGAGCACTCTTAGGTAAAACTGAAAGCAGATATGACATTGTGATTGTGGACTTCTTGTCATAGTCATCATCAAGCTGACCATGGTGTTCGTCAGATTAATACTTGCTTGTTTTCTTCCTTTGCTGTCATATTGGATTGGGTTTGTCATCCAGGTGATCGATTCTAGATTGCCTTTGAGTTATCCATTCAGCTATGGTGTCTAATTAAGATCTCCCCTGGTTTTTGTATCCACAGTTAAGTTTATTCTTCTAACTTAAGTTGAAGCAGAAATTGAAGTGTTTCATTTCTTTTGCAATGATCTGTATGGTTGCTCTGATGGTGCCCCTAACGTTTTTTCCTTATTCATGAAGGGAAAGAAATCCTCACTTTCATTTTAATATTGAGAACCCATCAAGTGAACTTGCTCCTAATTTTCAAATTTCATCAGATGGTTTAATTATATATGCAAACGTCTTCCTCTGAGTCTGCTCAACTACCAAGTTTTGTTTTGTGTTATAGGTAGACTTTGCTAGCTTTTCAAATGGAGGATCTAGCATTTCTGACATTGCACTGAAGTGGCCCAGTATGTCATTTGATAGACGCAGTATTCGTCAACATTCCAAGCGATTGAGTGGAGATTTTCAACTCTCATCAAAGTCAAGCAGCCAAGATTCCGAGAGCTTCCTCCTTAATGCCATCAACATGAGTTTCTTGGACCGTTTAAACTTGGCTTGGAAAATAATGTTCCCGTCTCCAACAACTAGAAGGAGCTCTAATGCAAATATTGCCAAGCAGCGCTTGAAGATGATCCTCTTCTCTGACCGATGTGCAGTTAGTGATGAGGCTAAAAGGATGATTGTCAACAACATTGTGCATGCTCTATCAGATTTTGTTGAGATAGAATCACGAGACAAAGTTCAGCTGAGTGTGTCTGCTGATACAGATGTGGGAACCATTTACTCCGTCACGGTGCCTGTAAGACGAGTTAAGCCAGAATATCAGATTGGAGACGAGACTGGAACCATAACAAATATTGAGTACAAAGATACTGGAGAAAGTTCTGGTTCTGTTGATGTCAAGTTTGATTTCTTCATTCCTGACTGAAGGAACACAATGAGTTTTAGGTTCAAGAAATAGGTTGTGTTTCTCTTTTAAATGTTGGGATTGGACCTTGTTCTTCTGTACATAAATGAAAAAAATCTTGTAAGGCGATTAGAGATGTGTTTTTCATCTGTCGAATCGAATCCACGGTTTGGTTTTAGTTTTGGCTTTAATTAACTTTAGCAGTGTGTGGTTTTGTCTGTTAGTCAGCTTATCAAGTTCATGACAGATTTTGTGACTGGTATGATATCCAAGCCTGTTTTCTGTTGATAACATCAGCGGTCTTGACTCTTAAGCACAATCTTTAGGGAGCCTGTATATAAGGTGAGTATGCTTTTTGTGGGATTAGTTATTGGTATTGTCCAAAAGACCCGAAAATACAAATGGGCAAAAAGTCATTTTAGATTCCTGTGGTTTCAATTTCGTCACTTTTGTCCATGTGGTTTTAATTTGAACCAATTTAAGGACAATTCCCAAATTCTGATACTTATTGAGGGGCATTTCGGTCCAAACTTGCAGCCCCTCCCCAACCACCTCCACCGCCACTAGCCCTCCAAAAACTCCTCCCTGTTGTAAACATTTACAATCCACTGTCTCAACTAACAACAAACAATGCTCCTTGGAGGTGTACAAAGAGAGGTACCATTATACAACCTTCATTAATAATTTTTTTATAGAGATTATGTTGAATTAGCACAAGGTGTAGTAAGAGCTGCAATTGATGATGCTATTGTAATCCAAGGCTACTTTTATGAAACTTACAAAAGACCGAAGTAAACTTGCTTCGGCTACCTTGTTTTTCTTTTTTGGCTGGAGATTACCTTCATCCCTTATGAAGAAATGAGATGGATTATGATTATAATTGTGAGTTTTTATTTGGGTTTAGAAAAAAAAAAGATAAAAAAAAGTATCTCCCTTGTGTAATCCTAAGACCCGCTCGATTATGATTTTGTTAGTTGATGTTTATGTATAGATGGCCATAATTTTTATCAACAAAAATTCAAATGGAGCATTGTTTGTTGCTGGTTTACAACAGAGATTAGTTTTTGGAGGGGCTGCTGGGTGGCTGTAGGGTAGTTGGGGAGGTGCTGCAAGTTTGGACCGAAATGCCCCTCAATAAGTATCAGAATTTGGGAATTGTCCTTAAATTGGTTCAAATTAAAACCACATGGACAAAAGTGACGAAATTGAAACCACAGGAATCTAAAATGACTTTTTGCCCATTTGTATTTTCGGGTCTTTTGGACAATACCAATAACTAATCCCACAAAAAGCATACTCACCTTATATACAGG